TATATATATATATATATATATATATATATATATATATATATAAAATATAAAGTTAGAATTTATTGTAAAGCATCCAAACAAACATATCTAACAAATAAATTTGTCTTCTAATATTTTAATATATATCTAAAAAAATTCTACTAATATAATAAAATAAGATGACAATATTTCTCAATTGAAGAAGAAAAAACTTGCAATTTCTTTAAATACGAAGGTTGTTCTTGACATCCAAATTGGCCCCAAGTACTTGTTCCTGCTAAAAAACTCTCGGGCTCTAAAAGAGGGCAACAACTCATTATCCACTACCATTAGATGAACATATGACAGTGGATGTTGGGTCTTACACTATTGTCATACTCCTACAAAGCATGAAATATTATCTCTATGAGTAATAAGGAAAGTTCTTTAAAGTTTAAAATACGGACATTTTATTCATCTTAAAATCTTTTTGAAAATAGAAACCGTGATCCATTAATCATCATAATGATCGTTTTAGTCTCTCTCTCTCTCTCTCTAAATGAGCTAAGCGTTAAACGAGTAGAAAGATTGAAAACTACGGATCCAACGATCAAGGAAAAATTTGGATATATTTACAATATAAGTTACACCACATAGTTTAACAAGTAGAAAGATTGAAAACTACGGATCCAACGATCAAAGAAAAATTTGGATATATTTACAATATAAGTTACACCACATAGTTCTCCCTTAAACTTATTCCATACTAGCTTTGTAATTTGCAATTGATTACAAAATCTGAGAGTTGTTTTTCTAAATAATATCCAAAATGTTGGACATGATTTATATCAGAAAAGTTTGAATAACACCTAGACCTTATGAAAAAAAAGTCAAGCTTCATCTCAAGTCTCACCAAAAATTACAGTTAACCTTCAAATCAATCATCACAACCTTGACCATTACAGTTGTAAAGTAAATAAAGATATCATGCCTTAGAATAATGTATATTAGACCATCCATTTTCAATTGTTCAATGATCCACGAGATCAGTACCACTTTTAAATTGCAAATTTTATCATCGGTTAGAGAAAAATTTTAAAGTCATAAAAGGGGTTTTCCATGCCCAAAATATTTTCAGACAACATTTTGATGTGAGGCTTTGCTTTTTTTCATAAAGCCTAGGATCGATAGATATCGTATCCTATCAAACATGAAAGCACATAAATCTTGTATAGCTTTGCCAAAAGGGTACCAAAGCACATAAATCATATGAAGCACTCTACGTTTCTTGACTTGGACTCGTCCCATCGGTCCTCGTCACTTTTCTGACCTGAGGGCTTGCCAGGCCCTTCCTTGTGGCCTCGCAACCCTGAGGGCTTGACAGGTCCACCCTTGGGGCTGGAGACTTCCTCTTAATCTCCACCACCATTACCATGTCAACCTTGAAGGCCCGTTGTTTAGAGGGGCTATCCCTTCTGAACTCCACCAAATGTTCAGTTATGGCCATAGCCGATGCCAAGTCTTGCACCCCACGTTGCTGGAGCTCTTGTTCGGCCCATGGTTCTCATCCATGAAGTTGAAAAATAAGTCCTTATCGGTCATGTCAGGGATCTCCAACATGAGGGTGAACTCCTTGATGTAGTCACAAACGGACCCGATGTGCCTTAACCATTTCAAGTCCTTGTGGGCCAAATACTCAACAATCTCGGGGTAAAATTGCCTCTTGATCTACCTCTTAAAGTCATCGTCATCCCATGTGTCGATGGTGCAAGTCCCCCATTCGACATCTGCATGCCATTTAAGCCACCAGAGAGCGTGGCTGTGTCAGTGAGGTACACAGTGGTCTCGAAATATCTCTCCATTTGCCATAGGAAGTTGTCTAGCTCCCTAGCATCTCTCTACCAATTGAAGGTTTTGAGGTCAGGAGTACGCAACTTAAGAACTTCATGAGCCATGATGCCCCCATTGCTCATGACCCTCGTGCATGGAGTCAGGTCACCTCTTAGTTCCTCTACCTGCTCCTACAACTTAGATTGCAGTGACATCACTTCGTCCCTAAAGGATGCCTTCTCCTTTTGATTCATATCCATCATCTCGTGAAGGATTAACAATGTGTTATCTTTTAGGACCTCGAGGCCTTCTATGCTCTAACCGATCTCCTCAAATTGGTCTTGCCCATCTGCCACAGCAATCTCCATCTGCGCCATGCAATTCCCAAGTGTGACTGAAGGGTCTTGGGACTTATCCCTTTCCCCACCCTTCTTGTGGCCATGAACTTGCCCACTAGCTTGGTCATCCCAGATCACCTCAATTTCATGGTCATCCTCTCTTAGCCCACAAGCATGCTAGCTACCAAAAACCACGAGCTTAGTCGCTCTCTCAAACCTTTACTCTGACACCACTTTTCACGGCCCTAGTGAAGCCCCATGCTTCGACCGTGTGGCATTTGCACCTCAATCTGTCGATGACGAGTCGGCCTTCTCACCTCGAGCACAATTGTGCATCAACCATGTACATTAGCCTAGCTAGCACAAGTGCAAACTACCGCACACTAGCAACTAACACAAAGATGCACTACGTACCAAAGAGAGTAGTCATACACACACTAGCGAGGGACACATAAATTGGCTAGAAAAAGCCTTTAAAATTCCACTAGATCTCAAGAATGCATATAAAGTCAAAAGGATGTATTACAAATGAGGGGTTTTTCCCCTTCAATAGATACCGAGCCTCATAACCAATGTTTAGGATTGAACCGCATGGCACCAATCCAACAACTAGAAACCTTTTAACCTCTATATGTATCTAAAGCATTCCACAGCCTTTCTCTTAAGATGCATCTAGAAATCTACTAGAACCCTCTTGAGGTTACTAGACTATTCTATGGCACTATGTGATCTATTGTACATAATGTACAAAGCAATTTTGGGGTGTGACAATGTGCCCCGGTGCGTGTAACTAGCAAAAGTAATTACCTTGTGTCTCTCTGAGTTCCATGTATCACTCTCCACCAGAACTTGGGAGCGGGACTCGCCCATGTCTGAGCCAAGTAACTTGGGCCAAATCTGAGTTACTCAGTTTGGATAAGGACCTAACAAGCCAAAAAGTATCAAAAAATAAAAAATTACAAAGAAAAACCCAAAAAATAGGAAAATTATGTTTAAAGTAAAATTAAAGCAAAACACTTCTAAATGAGGTTAAAAAAGCTGTGAAAAATGGATTTTAGAAAAATCAATTTATGATAGGTGTATTTTAAAAAATAATCAAAAAAGAAAGAAAAATACAAAAATAAGTATTCGTGACCAAAACACTATCCAATATTTGCTACAATAATAGAAGATATAAAAAATAATATTGCAAATAAATTTATTATTTCTGATTTTTTTATAGTTTTTAATTTTTTTTTTTTTAAGACTCTCGTATCAAACAACGTAAGTCAGGTACTCCGACGAGTCCGAGTTGGCTAGACCGAGTTGTTTAATTTATAACCGTATGAGACTTTTAGCTCAAACCTCCATTTGATGTGTAAATGCGACCCTAGGTGACATTGTTGGTCGAAACGCCCGTCACGTAATCCCATTTGTGCATTTATCCACATCACGCTCCAATAAAAAACTGGATAACTACATCACACCTATGCAAGTGCCACGTGGACACGTCCTTACCATCCCTTGAAGATAAGATCCCTTCTTTCATTTCTTGGACTTAAGACACAAAAAAATCGTGATCCCAAAACTTCAAAGAATAAAAGTAGGAACTATAGATTTATTATAATTTTAGAAACCAATGAAAATCCATAATCCTCTTGATCATAACCGATTGGAATACGATAAAAGTTCATATAATGAGCAAACCTTATATTGTGCAAGTAAGGCGCACTTCAAAAATCCACTTAAAATGAGTGTTTTTATATCAAAAAAACATTGAAATTGAACATCTCGACCTCAAGATTCATGAATATAAAAAAAAAAAGATTTCAAGTTTTATCTAGACCGTCTATTTTCAAGATTTTCAAATATTTATGAATCCACTCGATCTTCACTATTTTTTAATTCTAAATTTTATATTTTGGTACAAAATTAGAATTTGTAAAATTTTAGACACCAAAGCCGTAGGCTAAGGCAAAATTTAGATTTACGCCTTACTTCTATAATATAAGGGGGCACCTTATACAAACCTCACCTAACAAATAAATAAAAAGTTCATATAAGGTTACAACTTTAAAATGATGCACCTAAAAAATCCATAATAAAAGATTGTTTGGAAGTTGGAAAACCCTCTAACGATCATCTTGACATCAAGATGTATGAATATGAATTGAAAAAAAGATTTTGGATCCATAAAATAGTGTATATTATCATATATTATTTGGACGGTCCATTTTTCAAGAGTTTCACATGTTTAAAGATCTACTTTATTTGAATAATTTTTAGAGTGTAAAATTTTATAAAGAGATGAAAATAAATTCTCAAACTACCCTAAGAATTTTTTATATCAAAATTATATTCCTAATAAAATTTAGAAGTGCGCCTAAATTAGATTGTTTAAGGTTGGAACCGTACGCAAACCACACCCAATAAATAATCAATCAATCGGTAAGGATGAATAAATACTGGGATCCTCTGTTGTCGTCAAGCCTACGTTTGTGTGTTCCCGCATTTTCCTAATCTTTGTCAGTCGTTTCAGTGGAGGGTGATGACTGCAAGAGGTAACAACTGTTTCCATAGTCCTGAGGACTAATGGTAACCTGATAAGAAAGACCTCACCCAAAACCAGAAACAGGCCTGCATCTTCCTTCCTAAACAACCAAACAAATAGAAGCTTTGCCACTTTAGTGACTGATACAGAAAAGATAAGAGATATTTTCTTCCTCCTCCATCATGCCCCAAATTCCATTAACATAGCACCACTTTTGGTGGAAGAGAAAGAAACCATCAATTTTAGTGGAGGAGAGAGGAAATCACCAAATCAGGAGGAGAGAGAAACCCACCAGAGAAAATGGCGACATCGATGACGGGTTCGGCTGCGATTTCTGGCCTAGGCCGCCTCATAACTTGTAGAGAGAGGACAGCTTTCAAAGACAGAACCACTCGATTAAGGTGGTGTGGGTCAGTTGGAAATGGAGGAAACATCATATGGGGTAGGCAACTAAGGCCTGAATTCCTATTAGAGAAGCCCTTATTGCCAGAGAAAGTCTCTGGAAAGCGCCACCAGGTGATAAAAGCTGCAGCTTCTGAGAGCTCTTCCTCAGGGTGAGGTCTGTTCCTTTTGTTATAGACATTGGGAATTCCGGCCGTTTTCCGGCAACCTAATAGGAATCTTGAATTTTGCAGACAAGGGGAGGTGGCTGCTCCTGTTGCGTTTGTGGACAAGTATCCGGCTTTGGTCACTGGTTTCTTCTTCTTCATGTGGTAAACTATTATTGATTATTGAAAGTGTGTTAATGAAAAACGATGAATAAATTTGATTTTCTCAGAAACTTTATTTTTTATGGAGGGTGATTTTCTTAATGGTGGCTCAGGTACTTCCTCAATGTGATCTTCAACATACTCAATAAGAAGATCTACAATTATTTCCCCTATCCTTAGTAAGTAATTCAGTCATTTCTTGCATGTATTTGAATTGTTATTTTATTTTATTCTAAAATTAAAGAATATTTCCATTCATTTATTATTTATGTATGGAAAATCTAACAAAAGGCAGCTAAACGTTGAATCACTTAACACTTTATCATTTGTATTTTAATAGATCTTTCAAATCCCATTTTGATGTATCATTTGATGAGCTATTTAAACTTTGATTATGGACAATTTGAAATTAGATAAAACAAGTATGGTTAAGCTGTTAAATAGTTCAATTTTTTTTTTTTCCCTTTGTTTATTAATTAATTAATTTAATTTATGGAGACAGTTGGGGGGGGGGGGGGGGGGGGGGGGTGGGTCCTCTTATGGATCATGGCTTGCTTTCCAAGTATTTTATGTACATTATTGAGGGCCAAATTCGATATTTTGCTAGTAGTTTTATGTAAGTAATATGCTTTAGGCGAATTTTATTTTGAGAGGCAAACTTGCTATATTTCTATATAGTCATGGAGTTTTATGTAGCAAGAACTAATGAAATGTCTTTTGAATATAAAAATGCAGCTTTGTTTCTGTGATACACTTGTTTGTGGGTGTGGTGTATTGTGCGGCCAGCTGGACAGTTGGTCTTCCAAAGCGCGCAGTGAGTGTAAATTTTTTTTTTTTTTAATGATCAGTTTCCATGAATGAATGATATATTTATATTATTAACCAATTAAGTATTTTATGGAAAACAGCAACATAGTTCGATCGTTTTCACATTCCAAAATTTACCGAGAGGGCAAGGAAAACATGCAAGTTATACCCCCACATGTTTGCAAATAATTCCTTTATGCTCTTTATTATTTACTAGCAGTTCAAACTCGGCTGGGTGGGGTGGATCGTTCACCTATATATAGGGATTTTAGGGAAAAATTGGGTCGGGATCTATACCATGCTAGAACCAATCTGGCCCCGACCCATCTAGATTGGAAATTATAGTAAAAATTATTAAAGGAGTTGCCAATGCCGATTTCCTTTTTTCCACGAAAAATCAGCTTGAGTCGATCCTCAAATCCTGCCAATTCTTGCACTTGGTTCTGGACCACTGCGAATCCGAGCTTTGTCCACATATTTGAACAATGGTCGTTACAAATCCCCCATCTCCTTTTACAAGGAGGAAGACATCTTGGAGTCTTTCCTTGAGTTAACATACCAATTCCTTGTTGTCTAGGTGCTGCGGAGATCTAGGGCATAGAGAAGGCCCAATATCACAAAGATTCCTTGTATTGAAGCCTCTTGGCTTGTATGAACATTGTGGAAGCCAAGCGGTTCGAGATCTGGAACTTCGAATCAGTCCCTATATCGTGAATTTTACAGTCTAGACCTCGGACCACTTTGGCTTGCGTGAATATTGTGCAGGTCAAACAGTCTAAGGTCCCAAACCTTGGACCGGCACTTGGATTGTGAAATTCACATTCTTGGGACTGGTATGAGATTCCTGACCTCAGACCGCTTGACTCTCCTAAACAGTTTGTAACCCTAGCAATCCGCGGTTCTAGACCTCGGATAGATACTTGGACTGTGAATTTTACAGTCTAGTGAGCCATCCGAGGTTTCATACCTCAAACCTCTTGGCTTCCACATTGTTTGCAGAAGCCAAGCAAACCAAGGATCTAGACCTCAAACTTGTCCCTTCACTTCAAAAACTTTAGAGTAAATAAAAAGCAATAAAATGTTTGGAACACTGAATCGAGAGGCAAAATTAGAAAAAAGAATAAGAGCATGCAGGTTGGACCTCTGCGTAGAATTTACAAAAATTTGGATCTCCACATAATTCCTTACTTTATTTATTTAATGTACGCACCTAATCTATCATAAACAGTAGTACATAAAAGATGTTCAAAAAAATATACAAAGAGACTCTTTGTTTTTTTTTGTATAAGTAGGTTATAATCACTATTGTCTATTAAATTTTAAATCAAATAGTTGTAAGAGTGTCATCGACTATACTAAATATTTATTAAAAATAAAAAAAAAACAAAACCATAAGACTCCAATTTGACATTTAATGGGAAGAAATACTCATAACCTCCTTCTGACAGATAAATTGTCTCATAGTTTATAATCCCCATGTACTACTAGGTTTTGTTACCACCTTATATATATATATATGTGATGCAGCCGATAGACTCCAAATTGTTGAAGTTGCTGATCCCTGTTGCGGTGTGCCATGCGCTCGGCCACGTCACCTCCAACGTTTCTTTTGCAGCTGTTGCAGTTTCTTTCACTCACACCATTAAAGGTAGGAATCATCAACCAATACGTCATATTCAGATAGAGAGAGAGAGAGGTCTAAATTACTGTTTATAGAGAGAGAGAGAGAAAGAAAATTGTAATGACAAGTGGTAAATGCATGTTGTTATCAGCTTTGGAGCCGTTCTTTAATGCAGCAGCATCTCAATTTGTGTTGGGTCAGCAGATCCCCTTATCCCTTTGGCTCTCTCTCGCTCCTGTGGTCCTTGGTAAGCGACCATACCCCTTATTACTCGTATATTAAAACCTCTTTCCCCATACAAAAATATAGAAAACACTTCATTCAGTATGTATAGAGAAAGAAAAAGAGTATGAAAACAATCATTTATAACGTCTTTTATTGGTGGTATTCAGAGCATCTTTCTCATATAGCTTTTAAAAATCTCTTTTGTTGGTATCAAGGTTTTGAAAAACGGATCATTGATCCGGATTTTTTATCAGGTTCAGCAAATCGGCAATGTCGATCAGCCAACTGGTCAATAAAAAAATTTAAAGATTAGGATTTTTTTTTAAAAAAAAAAGTGGTTTCATGAGGGGAGAGCAGTTTCAGGTATTTAACTAAAACAGCAGGTTCGGCCCCGATGATACATTATCCAAATCGGACAATTCTGATCTAGATTGGCTTTTTTTTTAAACCTTCAGTGGTATTATTATTTTTGTCCTAGAGAAGAACATCTAATAAGTCGCTTATACTATACTTCTGCTGGAGTACATATCGTATACCTACTCCCTCAGGCAAAAGACCTATATGGGAGGATTTTTTAGTTTTTTTTAAATCTAGAATTTTAAGAACCACTTAAGAATCACCACATTATTATTTTAAAAAAGAAAACAAAAAATGAATTTTGAGTTTTCTAACACTTGCATCTCGACCTCCAAAATTTGGACAACCTTTGTTCAACCTTGAAAAATTATTTTTATCATGTGCATAGAGAGTGCAAGTTTTATAGATGTTAGTCCATGTATTGAAGAGTTGAGATCTACAAATTTTGGGGCCTTAAAGTTATTTCTAGAGGAGGTATACTCGAGAGAGAATACCCAGCGGGAGCATGAAATCTTTTGGCATACCTAACATTGAGAAGGAAACCTTTACTAAGGTGATCACTATGAATGGAGGCACGTAAAGGGGCCACATATTATTCAAAGAATTCGATTCTAGTTGATCTAATGCTTCCCTAAGCGCCATTTCAAGACTGTACATCTAAATTCAAGGGTATGCTCGTAAGGCCCAATTGCGTGCTCCTACAGGAGCACACTTTACACACTCCCTCGAGCAAAAGAAGTATTTAATTTAAGAAGAAGTTTATAAAAGGTGTTTTGTTGTAAAACTAAGGTGCACCTTAAAATTCTACCTGAAAAGTTTGTTCGAAAAGCCCCTCAATTGATTATCTCGTCCTGGAGACCTACCGATCTGAAAGAAAAAAAAAAAATTAAGTTCTAAAAATATTTCCTTAATACTGGATCATCTATTTTCAAAATTTTTAAATATTTATAGATATACTTGGTCCATACCATTTTTAATCTTTAAATTTTACAAGTCGGGGTAAAAATAGATGTTTTAGGTCACCAAAAGGGTTTTCAGCACTAAAATTGCATCTTTTAGCAAGATTCGAAGATAGGCCTTACTTTGATTGTTTATGGTTGACACCTCTCTACAAACTACACCAGTTTATCTATCATTCAATTTAGAATCAATAAGCATTTTCACAAAGAAAAAAATAAATGAATTTTGAGCTTTTGAATGCTCAGATCTGCCTGTCCAATTTTCCAATTTTTTTGACACTCTATTCAATACTAGGATTTTGTTATGAGAAAATGATGAAAATACCCTTAAGAGATGTAGTCTCTAATTTTTTACACATTTGCAACTATTTCAACTCATAATCATGTATGCTGTCATGGGCGTTTTCAAATTACATCAAGCAATATGGGTAAAATATTAAATGGTTTATATCTTATAATTATGGTAAAAGTTTATATAGAGCGAGGATCTAAACAATCAAATTAGAGCCCGCCTCAATAATTTCACTAGAAGTTGTTTTGATACCCAAATATCCTCAAATTGATCATCTTGACATCAAGATGCATGATCATGAGAAAGAAAATGGATTTCAAGTTAGGAAATAGTGTATTTTGTAATACGTTTTTGGACCTTCAATTTTCAAGATTTCAAGTTTTCATAGATCCGTCGATCTACACTATTTTTTAAGCTTTAAACTTTATAAATAAAGTTAAAATATATTTTAAGGCTATCACAAAGATTTCAATGTTGAAACCACATTTCTGGACACTTTTGAAGGTAGGCTCTAATTTGATTGTTTAGAGCCTAGGCTCTATACAAACCGCGCCCGTTATGTTATTTGATAAGGGAGAGCCGACGCTCTAAACAATCAACTCAGAGCCCACCTCAAAAATTTCACTAGAAGAGGTTGTTTTGATTCCCAAATACCTTCAAACTGATCATCTCGACATCAAGATGCATAGACATGAGAAAAAAATGGATTTCAAGTTTGGAAAATAGTGCATCTTGTAATGCATTTTAGGACCCGTCAATTTTCAAAATTTTTAAGTTTTCATAGATTTGCTCGATCTACACTATTTTTAAAGGTTTAAATTTTTTAATTAGATATGAAAATGTATTTTAAGGCTATCACAAAGATTTCGAGTATTGAAACCACATTTCTCGACACTATTTGAGAGTGAGCTCTAATTTAATTGTTTAGAGCCTTGGCTCTATACAAACCGCACCCTTTTGATAAAATTTATTTTTTAAGGTTGGTCTCGGGTTACCTCCCCAAAATGTGGGTCCTGAAAGTACCCTTAGTTAGCATTTACCCGAGGGAGTAATATGTATGATATGCTCCTGAGGAAGTAAGTCTTTGTGGTCCGTAGTATCCTCCTGTAGAAGCAATTTTGCATTTACTCCCTCAAGCTAAAAAGCCACTAAGGAGGATTTTTAATTTTGGGTCTTCCTAAGAATCACCTATGACTATATTCAAATACTAGAAAAAGGGTATTGAGTTCTTAAACACTTAGATTTGACCGTCCAAAAATTTGAAAAAGTCTATGTTCAATCTCATGACATTTTTTTTAAAGTACATATAGAGCTCGTTTGAGATTCATTTTCCTAGATTTTAGTAGCTAGGTTGAATGGTTAAATCCCCAAAACATAGATTAGATTCTACCTGATGGAGAAAATGCCCCCGCGGGAGCATGGAATCTTGTGAGACATGCTAATGATAGATCTAATGGTTGCTCGCAGGTGTGTCCATGGCATCTCTTACAGAGCTATCCTTCAATTGGACCGGGTTCATCAGCGCGATGATATCTAACATTTCCTTCACATATAGGAGCATTTATTCCAAGAAAGCTATGGTTGCCTTCCAAACTTCTAATACCTTCAAAATTTCTTCTAAATCTTAAAATTCTTATATAGTAGTAGTATCCACTTTGGGAAAGAAAAAAATAATGCTGGATTGTACTAGTATGGTATTTGACCAGTAATTTTATATATTGCCTCATCATCGCTAGATGAACATTTTCTAAAAGAAATTTCAGAAAATGATTTAATTTCTTAGAGGGCTTGAGCTAGCTGCTTTATGAAATAAACACCCTGTGCTCCTGAGTTCAGAAAAACCATATTTCAGCATTTTTTTAAAAAATTTTGTTATCATGAGCTTTTTTCCGGGATCCTTGTCTGGGGGAGCAGACCATTATAGCGGTGTGCCATTGTCGGACCAAATGCGACCCTTTATGTGAATCCTGCTAACTAAAGCATCATGAACAAAATTCTTACAGAAGCAGAGGAATTCTTCTTTTCTTTTTGGATGAAATTTTACTGGATTGATGGGGCTTGACATTTGTTGCAGACAGATATGGACAGCACCAATCTCTATGCCTACATTTCTATAATTGCTCTTATAGTTTGTATTCCTCCGGCCCTCATCGTGAGTAGATCCACCTTCAACTTCATGGACATTTGTTCCACATGATATGTTCTTCCTTGTAAAGCATATTTTTTTTACAATGGGGCATTTTTAAAAGGTTATATGTTTTCAAATAACTCACCATAAACAGTTGGCCTGTACGCCATATTTGATAGCACTATAAAAGCCAATCCCATATTTTTTGAGCACTTGCCCTAGCCTAGTAAGTATTAGGGAGAGTGATGAGCAGCATTGGACTATGTAGGTGGAGGGGCCTCAATTGATCAAGCATGGATTTGCTGATGCCATTACAAAGGTGGGGCTACAAAAGTTCGTTTGGGATCTCTTCTGGGTCGGCATGTTCTATCACCTCTACAATCAGGTTCTGACCTTGGCACTTTGAACTAAGGGGTTATTTTTTATGTAATGATGTAAAATTTCATAGGAGTGACAATTTTGAGATGGGAAATTATAGCTGGCTACCAACACATTGGAGAGGGTGGCACCCCTCACTCATGCTGTCGGAAATGTGTTGAAGCGTGTCTTCGTGATCGGCTTCTCCATCTTGGTCTTCGGTGATTCTCTTGTTCCTTAATCTCATAGATTACTGCTGCCCAATTTTTTTTGTCACAGATATGACTTTGCGACCACGAATTTTCAAATCTATGACAAGCAGTTAGTACACATATACATCTTCATTCTTCATGTCTTAGTGAATAATTTGGCGATACCTATGTCGCAAGTATGAATTAGTTGGGTAGCAGCTTTGCCTAGCATTAAAGAAAGAAATTGAGCAAATGTAATTGGGGGTGGTCAAAAGACTTGAAATTAGGACCTTGTCTCAGTGTACCCTTTCATAAAATTTTGATTTTCCTGAAAGACTTTTGATTGTTGGAATTCAGGGAACAAGATTTCTCTCCAGACTGGCATTGGAACAGTCATTGCCATTGCAGGTGTCGCAATTTACTCTTTCATCAAGGCTAAGATGGAAGAAGAAAAAAGGGTATGTGCTAAATTATAGATGCAAGACTCAATTTTAAACTAACTTGATAACTGTTTCTTCTTTGAATGATAAACTTGTAACGACTATTTTCATTTTTTAAAATTGGTCTTCTATGTTCCTACTTTAACCTGTGAATCTGATTTATTTCAGGCTTTGCAGCAAAAGACTGCATAAAATGGTGATGTGGGCTACAATCTGAGCTGATGATTCAGAAATTCTATCATCTTCGACCTCCAATATCGTTTAAGTCTGCAGCATTGCCCATGCAATGATCATCCAACCTCACTTTCCACATCACAAAATCCCATTTTAACAGGAAAGAATGGCTCCATTCTTGGACTCAATAAAATCCTTGAACTTTAAGTTAGATTCAACGATGGTTTTTAAGGCTTGAACTCGGATTATGAATGTAAAAAATTGCTGGTTTAATTATCTCAAAATAATTGGAAATGAAATTTCTTTTTTGACAAAGAGCATCATATTTTGGAAGGGGATCATCTTCTTCCTGTCAGTTTGGACCGAAGCTCATCAGTCGGAGTGAGAAAGGGAGAAGTTTCGTAATGATTATCAACCATCATATCTAGATAGCTTGGTATCCCTTGTTGAATCGCGAGATTTATCGTCTTGTTCAAGAAGAACTAGAGCTAAGAAAGCTCAACCTTCTCTTACAAGAGGTGAAAAAAAAAATCAAGGAAACCAACAAGTAATAGCTCAGCCGCATCCAACAATAGACAACTTTCAAAGTCATTTCTCAAAATTCAACTAGTCCTTTCGTTAGTTTCTTAAAGCATAAATTAATCATTTCTCAAAATTGTTGTATATTCAATGTTGAAATTTTTGTTGTATATTCAGTGTTAGAAATTTATTTTTTTTGACAAGATTACTTTAACTTTATTAATCAATCAAAGGTTACAACATATCATAAAGGGAAAACATCAGAAGTAACAACATTATGCATAAGCACTCCTCGCTTCGCCAAACCATCTGCAACGTCGTTTGGCTCCCTATACACATGCTAAAAAGAGATCTAAACATCCTCGCACATGTTCATGATATTCATTCATCTTCTTCTGAGGTGCTAAGGTTGCCTTGATATCGTTTTACACCAATTTATCACATTCATTGAATCCCCTTCTATGATACTAGGCGCACTGATATTTCTTTCACCCAACAACTTAACACCTCTCTCTAGTACTGTTATTTTCGCTTCATTTGCAAACCAGACGGACCTGGGTTACCAGCCGAATTCCTATCAAAATTAAGTTTTACAGTTCCTTGATTTGGTACCGACCACCTTCCTTTCCGTCTCACTTTCACAAAATTCTGTAGAACCAAATTATGTAAATTAGTCTCAACATCCACTCTTGATACTCCAAAACCTTCCTTATCTTCTTTTTTACCATTTCTACATCCATTGCCGACTTTTCGAATGTCCTCCTATTTCTCTCCATCTAGATCTCCCATACAATATTCCCGGATCAATTTTCCCATCTTTGGTAAATAGTCCATACCCATATTATCCAAAATATTCACATGATTACTCGGCACGACCATCATAAATCCAAACTTATAAAACATCCACTCTCAAATTTGACTGGAAAAATGACAGTGAATGAATAGATTATCTCCAGTCTCATCATCATAATCTTTCTTGGTTCGACTTCCCACACAAGTTCATCTTCTCTCTCAGGATACAAATTAAATTCATTAATATCCCCAAGTAGCCCAGTATACTGTTCGATTAAATTCAACTGGCCCCTTAGAGCTGATCTCACAGCTGCTTTGATCTCTTTATCATCATCATAATCTTCTTCTTCTACCCTCGCAACAAGAAAGGAACTAAGAAGTTCGAGCCAAAAAAAAAAATGGGAAATTGACCTCTCTCTAGAAAATTCTTACAAATCTTGAGCGATTTTTGCAGTGACGAATTTGAAGAAATTTTGATGGCTAGATTTGTGGGGCTTTTCACAGGCATCGGTGGCCTAAGGTCATTTGGGTGTATTTTTGGAGATCATATTTCGGATATCCACAGCCTATAAACATCCCGTATCCAGCATTTGCTCGTTCTAAAAAAAATTAGAATGAGCAAATACAAGCTTTTCGGGAAGCCAGCTTGTCCCATATCCAGCATTTGATCGTTCCAAGAATATTTTTCTTTCACACTCCTCGTAATACTGAATGTTATACTTAATGAGATATTTATTATAATCATAATATTCATATTTAATATTTGCTATTATTATTATTATCATCATCATCATTATTGTATATTTTGCTATAATGTTTATTAATATTATAATATTCTATTAATAAAACGATATTGTACTATTAGGTCAAAATAGGGGCAATTTGGGAAAATTACAGCAAAAAAAAAAAACTTTGGCAAAGAATACCAAAATTATAGGACTATTTTTAATTTTGAAAATAAAAAATATTTTAGGTTAATTTCTTCTCTTTTATTCATTTTCAATCCACTTAATAATATATTTTTACGTGTTTAATTTTCTATCCAGCACTAATTATTTATTGAGTTTTGCTTATTTGAACTTGAAAAATTCTTTTGTCGGAAATGAGTAGCCTACTACATATGCCCATATTAATATTGACTATTTATTATTATTATTGTTGCTATTGTTGTTGTTATTATTTAATATTTGTTATCATCATTATTAAGATTAGTATTATTTTAGCATAATATAATAATATTATGCTAAAGTAGTAACATATAATATCATTGTTATTACAATATTATGTCATAACATAAATATATAAATATCATATTATATTAGTAATAAAATATTATTTATTTTATTGTAATACTTTATTAATATTACATTGTTATTTTATGATGTCATAACATCAATATATAAATATCATATTATATTAGTAATAAAATATTATTTATTTTATCGTAATACTTTATTAATATTACATTGTTATTTTAATACTAATAGAATGATATTGTACGATTTCATAACTATAATATTTAAGTGTATTATTGTTGTTGTTTTCATCGTTGTTATTGTTATTATTTATGATATTTTATTGAAATAGTGGTCATTGAAATATTTGAGTAAACAAATATATGTTATAGATAATAAAATTAGGAGTGGATATATTATGAGTGGAGTTGGTCATGTTACTCATAATTAACTATTATTATGTAAGAATTACATATTTCACATATGATTTTCATATTCCAAAACATTCTAAAAGGAGAGAGAAACAGAGGAATAAATCAAAATTTGAACAGAAATTGCTCTACAAGATAAGATTTGAACTAGTTCATTTGTCTCTCATATTATAGATAGCTTATTTCTAATAAATTATTTTTATTGGAGAAATAATAATATGTAATCATTAAATTATGTAGTGATGGTGAAACTGATTTAGCAGCAAACTGCTAAAACCTGATTTTACATTTGATGAGCCAAATAAAAGATTTATTATACTCTAGGTTCATCAAGAGCTCCCCATATAGTTTTGTTATATTTTACAAATATTAGAATTTATATACCCAGGTACATAGCCAGGTTTTGCAAATATTAGTCCCAAGAGACCCACTAATATGTTGTTTAGATCCTTGGATAAACAAATCCTAAATATGCCGCAAAACGTGTGTATGCAGATTCCAGCATTTGTAAAACGTGGTTTTAGCAACAGTATTGTTTGGTTAGCTTATAGAAAAACGCAATATAATGAAAACCAGGTTTTAGAAATTTGATGTTAAAACAGTTTAATTGTTCGTTTCATAAGTTGATAATTCTGCAATAGTATATGTCCAATAAAAATGATTTCGTAAAAATAAAGCATCCACAATATGATAAAGAAATTAAAATGGTTCAGATCTTACTTTAATAATATTTTATTATAGTATTTTAACTACCGTGATGATCAAACTTTGGTTTCTGTAATGAAACAATCGTACAGTTTGGAAGCTTTGGATGAAGAAGGGCTCTTGACAAAATTGGAGAGGAAGATGGCTGAGTTTCCTCTAGACCCTCTTTCGAAGATGCTTCTTGCTAGTGGGGATCATGATTGTACTTCTTTTTCTTTTTCTTTTTTAAGTATCAAGGGATTGACTCTTCTTACTCACTTAATTTCTTTTTAGCTGTCTATTTTTTTTTTAATTTTTGGGCACTACATCATTTTCACTTTGTTGTGTTCCTATATCTGGTTAAATATTTTATTCCTGCTATTGATTTGTGAATAATATCTTGCACAAGTATAAATTGGATGTCGTAAGTGCTAGAAAAATTTTCACCAAGATAGGGAAGGCGGTTTGTGCATGGTTTTTTCCATGCTGCTCGAAAAGATCCTTACTACATGACATTGAATGAGCGAAGCAGTTTACATCCATCCAAGTAGTGTGTTTTTCCGGAGGCAACCTGATGGGGTCATCTACAATGAGCTTGTGATGACCACAAAGGAATACATGAGAGAAGTTACTGTTATTGACCCAAAATGGCTAGTTGAGCAATACACTGTGACCCCTACGATAGTTAAAATACCGTGATATACCATGTGGTCATTGCGGTATTTTAAGTAATGTGATATCTCTCGTAGTCATCACGGTATTTTAATTAATGTGGTGTCTTAACGGTCATACGACTATCGTGAATGCTATTTTGATATAAAAACAAAAAAACAAAAAGTGAAAGAAAAAAAAAAAATATATATATATATATATAGATAAGGTTTAAAAAAGTATAAATTTTTTTCTAATAAGTCAAAAATTAAAACATATTTCTGATAATTTTCGAAGTTTTTATGGTGTGGCTGTCTTGGATACGCTCTCCAAAAGTATAGCGAAACAACCTTATGCCATCAAATCCTAGATTTGTGAAAAAGGGTTTCATGTATCCTAAGCACATATCAAGGTAGGTAAATAATAAGTAGTATCCTAATTATTGAAGAGTGTATTTGCTCAATGAAGGCAATGAAGAAAGTTGAATTGATGTGTAAAATTGAATTAGAAAAGGTATATAATAGTGTCAAATGGGTACAAATGAAAGTTATGGGTGCTAAAAGTTTCGGGGCAAGATGGAGTAGCTAGATTAGCCCATTTTTCGATGGGAAAGTGGGAGATTTCTCTAAGGCCACTTGGGCGGAACGGCATAAAAAATTATTGTTTTGTGGTAAAACATATCAATTTGTCTAAGATGGACCTAATTAGCAAAAAACAGATTGCATACGGTGAGACCATTTATCTTTGTTACCAAAGTTCTACATTATTTCAAGTCATTTGATGTCAAATTGATTAGCTTGTGATGTGTGAGAATTTTTTTTTGAATTTTAAACCTAGTCAATGACACTCTTAAAACTACGCGATGGAAAATATGATGGGCAAGAGTAATTGTGACCTGTTGTACCAAAAGTAAATAATCTTTTTATATACTTTTCCATATAAAGAAACGATAAAAACAGATATAAAGTATGTAAAAGTCATTTTACAAAAAGAAAAAATTTATATAAGGTTGTCACCTTAAAATGTAGAATTAAGGTGCACCTCATAAATTCATGGGAAAAAGTTGTTTTGATGTTGGGAAACCCTGTAAATGATCATCTTGATATTGAAATGATATTGATATTAGAAAAAAAATGATTTTAAGTACCAAAAATAATGTATCTTGCAACACATTATCTATACCGTCGATTTTCAAGATTTTCATGTGTTTCTAAAACTACTTGCTTTGAACCATTTTTGGAGCTTAAAATTTATGATTACATATAAAAATGGATCCTAAGAAATTTTGACTCCTAAATTAGATTTTATAATAAAATTTGGGTGGACATCTTACTTTAATTGTTTAAGGTTGCAATCTTATGCAAACCACACCCTTTTAAACATAGAAAAGTATACAATGAGATCAATTATTTTTGGTACAAGCTGGTCACGATTAATATTGACCATTGGATATAAAATTGGGTGGCTACATCTATTCTATTGACCGAGCTCAAAGTTCAAAATATATTTCTTCAAACTTTGTGGCACACCTAAGCTATTAGATTTCACATCGAATGATTATAAGTAATTGTAACTTCCTCGTACCAAAGGTATATAATCTCTTTGTATATAACCCTTTTAAATATGCATATTATAATATATACATCTCATATCATCATCTCATATAACTTAGGATTATGTTAGGTTACTCGTGCATATGAGTATTTTCTTAAGATACTTAACATTGTTGGACACTTGATATCCTTACCTATTAAGCCGTATTTTTTTTGTCTAGGGGTATTTTAAGTAATTAATTAATGATAAAATAACAATTATTGATAAAAAGAAAATTATTAGTTAATAGGGATTAAAACAATAGTACTAACTCATAAGATATTAAAAAATAAAAAAATATTATTAATACTAATTTATTGAACAGTAAAAAAAAAACTAGTTTATAAGATATTTTAAGAGAGAAAAATAACACTAGCTCATACTACTGTAGAATTTATTTTCATGATCTCACATTGTAAGTATGAACTAATTTATTTCATTTTTCTATTTTTATTAAAATATGATTGCGATTTTATATTTCTAAATTTTATATTTCTATCCAGACTAATTATTATATATTAGATTTATTTATTTGTGAAGATTATACCCTTAATTTTTTGAATCACGTTTATTACAATATTATAATTAGTAATTATATTAATTACAATGATAACCAAATTTTATATTTTATTTATTAATTTATTTACATTATAGATTATACAATGTATTATTTTTTGTTGTAATTGTAAATTTGATTTTTAAATTAGATGATATTATAAGACAAATTCATATTTATTTTTATTTGTCTAGTAAAATGATTATAAAATATAAACCAATAATTTTAATTTTAATGTATGATATTATAGTTAGTAAGGTTGTAATAATTTGGGACTAGGGATTAGTAAAGAGAATTACTAAATGTTCGATGTGATACTAATTTCACTTTATATGAAAAAATATTTTCTTTAATCTTATAATATGAAAGTGTTTACTGATATTTTTAAATTATTTTGATACAATATTATATTATTATATTATAATTAATAATTATACATATATTAAAACAGAAAACAGCATCTCAGTATTCACCTATTTTCATTATTAATTAATTTTAGAAACTAAAAAATCACAATTTTTTTTAGAGAATTATTGTGATTTTTGAAAAAAAAAAAAGTTGGGACAAAAATTACCAATTGGACCGATTCTTTGAACAGATCCACCAATCCGATACGGGTATAGGTGGGACTGATTCGAGTCAGCGATGTATTTTTTTAAACACCGGTTTAGAGCCTACAAACCGCACCCTTACACAAGATGCCGTCAATATCACTTTTCGTCATTACAGTAACGACAACAAAAAAAAAAAAAAAACCTGAACGGTGTTCCGACCGTTGGAGCAAAAGACTGCATTGCGCACTTTGCTTTTTCAAAAATGTCAACAAACCCAACGGCTACCTGTCTCCCCCGCTTCAATAAACCCCGTCCTTCTTTCTCTTCCCTTCTACCTCCAATCTCTCTATCTCTCTCTCTCCACTTCAATAAATCCCTTCATTATTTCTCGTCCCTTCTACCTCCAATCTCTCTCTCTCCCATGGAAAATTCACCCAGCCCACGCAAATCCGAAGCTCGTCGAAGCAAAACAATGTCAAGGCAAATGCAAATCTATGACGACTTTGCCGAAAATCTCCCATTATGTCTCATCCCTCCCTTCAAATCTCGACTATCCCTTCTCCAAATCCCACCACAAGAGTCTCCATCCCCGGTTAAGAGAACCAAACATTGCCTCACACCCAACAAGATAGTGAGAAGCCCCACCATCTTGGGCCGATCTCTGGGGGCTCTTGAAGATCTCCGCGTTGAACCAATGAATAAGAAGAAACCTCGAAGAAACAGTAGGCATTCGAGGAGGAGATCAGATCAAGGAGAATTTGAAGATAGAAAGAGAGATTTGGATATGGTTGAGGAGCATAACAGAGCAAGAAGGAGCAGGCATCTCCGTTCTGGTTCTCGTCGTGAGAAAGTAATCTTGGACGTTCCAGCTCTTCCTTCTACAGCTGGTTCGATGCCCAATATCCATTTCAAATATCTTTTCTTTCTATGTGGAATTTTGATTGATTTTGCTATATGGATTATCTCTCTTTTTTGGGATTTATTTTGAAAGAAACTTTGGGGCATTGTAGTTGTTCAAGAAAAACCATGGGGTTTTTGCTTCAACGTTTTGATGGTGGTTCTGTGTGTTTTATGTAGCAGAGATTCCTGAAGCTAAAGAGGGGAGCCTCTATTGTTATATTGAGGAGCAGGTTGTTGATTTGATAATGTGGAAGGATGTTTCTAAGTCCAGTTTATGGTTCGGTTTGGGGTGTCTCTGCTTCTTATCGACATGCTATACCCGGGAAATTAACATCAGGTATGTGCTACTTTAATTCAGAGAGTGAGAGAGACAGATTGGTGTTGATTTGCTAACATGGAAGTTGTGTTTCTGATGTGTCGCAGTTCTGTATCAGTGGTCTCAAATTTGGGTCTCCTACTCCTGGCTGTGTCATTCCTTTTCAACTCTTTCTCTGGCATTAGGTATGAGCACTTGAATATTAGAAGCTGGAAACAATGCAGTCTCATGTTTCTTATAGTTTAGCAGAAGTCTTTAATGAATAATTGGTTTAGTAGATGTAATAAAGGGTTTTGGACCTACTATGGAGAAATGAGCTGAATGACGTTGGACCTACAAACAGGGAGAAGAAGAATGACCTACGAAGGAGATATGAGCTGAATGAAGATGATGTTAAACGGGTTGTTAGAGTCGTGCTTCCACTGGCGAATGAAGCATTCGCCAAAATACGAGAACTTTTCTCTGGCGAGCCCTTGATGACTCTTAGAGTACTCTCTCTCTCTCTCTCTCTCTCTCTCTCTCTCTCTACTACGTAGTAGTTAGTTAGTTAGTTAGTTAGTTAAGTTAAGTTAAGTTAAGGTTAAGGTTAGGTTAGTTACGTTGTTACGTTACGTT